TTTACACCCCCTCCTTCATTTACACCCCCTATCTTCATTACTCCCCCCTCCTTCATTTTCATCCCCATCTTTACTTACTCCCCCCTCCACTTACTCCCCTCCTTCATTTACATCCCCATCTTTACTTACTTCTCCCCCCTTCACCCCCTTCACTTACTTCTTCCCCCCCTCCTCACCTCTCCCTTGCCCTCCCCTGTAGCGTGGACGAGCTGCTTGCTGGTCCGCGGTGCCGGCCGGACTGATAGGAAAGTGCACGCTGAGTGTGCACTTCCTGTCAGTCCGGCCAGTTACAGGAAACAGAAACTCCGTGCGGAACTGGAGTTTCTGTTTCCTGTAACCGGCCGGACTGACAGGAAGTGCACACTCAGCGTGCGCCTTCCTATCAGTCCGGCCGGGCACCGTGGACCAGCAAGCAGTTCGGCCACGCTACAGGGGAGGGCAAGTGAGGAGCAGCCGCCTGAGGCTCTTAACAGAGCGCTCAGGCGGCTGCAGCATTTAAAGGGCCGGCCCTGCAGCGGCCGGTCCCAACAGATTTTAGGGCGGCCTGGGGGGCAATTGCCTCCCTGCCCCCCGGCCCAGCCCGCCCCTGGGTACTGTGACATAGTGGTGGGCTTAACACAATATGGCCATATAGTGGAACCAAATCCCCATATTTATTTCCTTAGATAGGTGATTTTAAGTAGCCTTCTTAAATGTAAAACTGTGTTTTTGTTAGTGTGTGCGCTGTTCCTTTAACTGTATTTTGCAGATGAGATTCAGTACAGATTGATGTAAAGCCAAACATTTTGGAATAAGGAACCCACCAGCCTCTTATACATTAAATGGGACTGATTTTGGGAAAACATTAAATGACTTTGGAACTTGGAAAAAGGACTTGAGAACAATTATAGGTAACAAACTAGGCAACAGTATATATGGAATAGTCTGTCTGTAAAAAACAGCTCCTTTTTAAAAGTAATTTTTTTATAATTCTTAATTTTGTTGTGGAGTAATACATATAATATTAAATTAAACATTGTTGACAGTGGCCCACTTTATTAATTATATAAGTGATATCCATTAGGCTACAATAACTATTAAAATAATGCAGCACTCTGATAATAAACAGAATAGAGGTAAGAGGGAGAGGAAATATAGCATTAATAACAATATTAAGTGTGTGGCCCTCTTTGGGGATATGATTAGTAAACTTGGTTACCGTAGTGATTAATAATACCTTCTCACCAATTACAACTACAGCCATACTCCTAACAACTCTCATAGTTGCAATTGGGGGAAGGGGGTAATCGCTACAATCAATAGGTATTTTAAATTCTATAGATTCACAGGTATCTAAATGATGTGTCACAATATGAATTAGCGGTATGCCCATAAGGGAATATGAAATAATGAATAAATGTAAAAAAAAAAGCAAGAAACATTCATATTATGCCTTAGTTTCCAACAATGGTGTCAGCTACGAGATAGAAAGACATCTAATAAAACTGCATGAGGAAGTGGAGCAACCCCTAAATAAACTTGAATCAATTTGACACATCTCATCGTAAATAACAAATACATTCAAAAACAAAGCATTAAACAACCTCTTTAAGGGAGACATAACTCCATTTATTGGAGTCAGCTACTAGATGGGAACAGTGGCTATTGAGACTCAATGGGATACATGAGCATGAATCGATTTGGCATATCTCATCTACGGTCATTGGGGCCAGCTAGAGGGTGAAAATTAAAAAAAAACAAAACACCACAAATAAAGCAGTAAACATGGTATGGTAAACTTGACTTAGTTTTCTCTTTGGGGTTAGCCACTAAATAGGAAGGAAAGATATCAAAACATGGGGAATAGAAAAAAGTGAACATGAAACCTTTGAGCATGTCCTCTCTGCAATATTTATGGCCAGTATTGGAATAAGAGGGAACATTAGTTCGAATGAAGGGAGTGATATTGGCAACGTTCCATTGGTGAGTAGAGGCCTTAGCCGAGCCAGGTACCCCATCCAGAGAGAGAACTAGTGCTGCAAGGAAGTCTGCTGCTTGGATTAGCTTGTGCAGAGTTCTGTCTTTAGTGACCTGCAGGGATGTGGGTTTGCCCCACTGATAGGGCACCTTTCCAAAGGACGATGGTAGCCGGGCAGAGTGTTTGTTGCCACTGCAAAATAGACCTTGAGAGGTCTTCATAGAAAGACAGGGATCTATTTTCAAACTCCAGTGTGGGAGAGACTTTCACTGTGGCTAACACCACCATTTTGTTAAGGTGGGATGAAAATTGGATAATAATTTCCAATTTCGTTAAGGTGGGACACAAATTGGATAATAAGTTCCCGGGGACTAGATCCAGGAGCTCTGACAGACGTGCGGAAACTAAAAACCCATCAAGGAGGAGTCAACGTAAGTAATGCAACATTTTGCATCATCCACAGCCTGTGGGGATACACCTGAGTTGAGATTCCTGTGACGGCGCTTAATATCATATTTGGTGAGTTTCTGACCATGTCTGCTTGGTTATGTAATAGTTATTCCTGATTTATAGTTGTGACAAACTCCCCTCTCCAAGTGAGTTTGCCACGAGCTCCTGGAGGAGCCTGCTTGCCAGCCTCCTGCCCACAGACTATGGGCCCTGCAGGGAAACCTGTAAAAGACTACCAAACTTGATCGACTGTGAGCACTGATTTCTCTGGAACTGCTTTGGGCATAGGACCATGTGCACAGTCGGTCAAAACTATGACTTCCAGGAAATTACTGAACCCTTGCTCTGATCTGGGTGATTTTTTGATATGTTGTTCACCCAGATCAGGGCTATCAGGGGATGTGATTGTATTTTGGGGTACTTTTGGGACTTTTTAGAAATGTGTGTTTTTTTCTGCCTGGAGATAATTGAGTTGATACATTAATTAACTCAATTATCTCCCAAGCAGAGGGGATGAATTGTTTGCTTTGTGTGGGAGTGCCTTACTTTGTAAATGTGTTGTTATTGGTTTGGAAGTTTGAGTCCTCCTCTGTGGCCTTAATTCTGTCTGACAAGGTATGCAGCTCTTCCCATAATATAGAGAGATCAGCGTGAATTAACTGGCGTATATCACAGAGAAAAGCTTTAATATCGCTTTTTGTAGCCGTGGTATTCTTGTCCGAGGAAGTATGGTGGACTCCTCCCTCCACTAGGGGATAAGGCTTCATAGTCTGTCACTTTGCTTCCTGTGTGCAGATCCAATCTCTCCCTGCCTAGCCCCCTCCTCAAAGCCACTTCCCCCCTTCTGCGTGGCTGCAGTCTCTGGGAGGAAGTGACTCACGGCACTCACTTCTTCCGAGGCTGCAGATAAGCAAGGGGTCCAGTCACACTATTAAAGTTAAAGGGCCACAGCGCCAGACCAGTGGTAGTTCCTCGCGGGCCGCCTGAAGTCCTTTGGCGGGCTGTAAGTTGTGCAGGTCTGGGCTATATGATACTCTAAATAAAATAGTCAGAAACATGTTATTTTCTGTCCACAGCCACAAAGCAATCTGACAGTGCCTCTTCTGAGACCAAACTTTGGATCCAACCCTGCACCACAATAGCCTTAACTAGGCTGCAGAATCCGCCCGTCCAGAAACCTGTGTGGATAGGGTTGCCTTCAAAATTCTTGCCAGTTGAGCCCACAGTGTTGCTTTGTAAGATTAGTAGGTACACATACCTGCTTAAGCAGGGTGAAGGTTTCAAAATATCAGTAATAATAAATAATAATAAATTATGAATTCAATCTGCTGTTCAGAACTCAGTAGAATACGTGGCTGTCCAGCCTGGCTCTCAAGCCCTGTCCCACTTATTTCAGTGTCTTAGATGCATTGATAAAATATAGTCATTAGCCTGCTCATTTGAATGGATTATTCGAGGCCCTTAAAGAAAGAATGAACAGTAACGATGATAAGGGACCACACTGACATGTTCCTTTTAATAGGGTGAACCGGGTTGAAAGTTTTCCATTTTTATTAAGATATGCTGATGAGCAGTCATAAGGGGACTTGATCCATGCAAACATGCCATTACCAAATCATTTGTAAGGTCTGGTACATAAAGATAAAGTTCACCAGCCAGATTAAGGGCTTCCTGGGCCTCCTGATTTTGTTGGGAAAATGAGTAAAATGAAAAACACAGATTAATTGTATTTGATATCTTTAAAGTAACATAAAAATGTATTGAAAATGTTTTTAGTTCAGTGTGTAGGTGTGTTAGTGCATGTGTGTATTTTTATGGAGTGCCTGTGTGTAAATGCCTATCATTAGCTGCCCAATGAGGGAAAAGCTGTTTTACTGTGTTTTATTTATGTATATAAATCAATGTATTTTACATATTATAAATATGTTGTATATAAAAATTCTGCTTATAATATATACATGTATTTTAATATATGTGTGTACAGATATATATATATTTTAAATTAAACCTTGTCCTTTCCACATATCTGTGTGCACGCCCACACACATGCACTCATTGACCCAATACAAACACTTATATTCACCAACCCATGCAGACACACACACTGATTGTCCCATACGCACACTCATTGACCCTTTCAGATACAAGCTCACTCACACGCACTGACCCACACACACACACACACACTGGCTGTGGTGTTGTATGTGTTTGGAGGAGACATACCTTCAAAGAGATCCATTTACATGGTGGCTTCTGTGGAAGAGGAGAAACAGATATATTCTTACCGAACCTGGGCATCCTTCATCTTTTTGTTTATTGCTAATTTCTGTTTCTGGCAGAGGTAGCCACGAGGACTTGCATCACTCTTGTATTCTTTGGCATGTGTGAAAGTATAAAATGACTAAATGGAAGATCCCATAAAACCACAGAATCCTCCATAGATCTTGTATATCATGCATACCTCCCAACATTTCAAATGGACAAAGAGAGACACTTTAATTTTAGGGGTGTGAGTGGTGGTGTGGCCAAGGGCTGGGGCTTAAAAAAAATTTTTTTTTAGATGACTTACAAATAATTTATGGAAAAAACAGAAGTGACCTTGTCTTCTATACAGTAACAATTTATTCAACAAAAGCTTTGCAGCATAAGTTCACCATATTTCACTGCTTAGTGAATAGACTCCTGTCTGTACAAATGACTTGTCTGTCGGGGAGGAGCTGTTAGACTGCACCTCTTTTACTGCTTTCATTCTTCATGACTTTTGACCCTTTGGAATGTTAGTTGTGTCACAAGGATTAAAGGCTGCAAGGGGAGCTCTCTCCCAGAAACGTGTAAATTACATAACAGCAGTTAAAGCCACTGGATTACATGGGGAAGAAGCTTCTGAGACGGACAACTGGAAAAGGTAAATGTGCAGAAACATATCTAATAAAAAGGTTAAGTTTAATGTAGAGTTTTATTAGGAGTAGGCTGTGCACCAGCTTGTTGTAATGTATGCTACAGCAAACGTGGGACTGTCAGACTAAGGGGGGCATTGATAAAGTATATAGAGGGATTTTCAATATACACATATAATCAAAGTATTATCATTGACTAAGTGAAAATAGAGTGCAAGCTTTCCGGGCCACTCATGGTCCGCATTAAACATGTTAAAATTAAAGATGAAGTATCTCTGTGAAATAACTACACAATATATCAGAACAAACATGTAATAAATGTCTGTGTGTGTGTGTGTGTGTGTGTGTGTGTGTGTGTGTTTATAATCTATATATAGTGTGTGTGACCATGAGTTGTACATAGAGAGGAGATAGAAGAATAAAACCTGATTATCATTAGCCTTTAAATAGCAAACATAAAAGTTCTATGCAGTGGCCTACCTTTTATTTATTTTTATTTTTTTAATACTTTATTTATGACAAAATGTAGGCATTTCAGCACTATACACAGGACATTCATATGGGCAATTGTATCGGCTATTACATAGTATAACAATTGTAGTATCCATCTCGAGTCCAGTTGTGGAGTCTTTATCGAAGTCTAGTAATGACCTACTTTTTATGGTAATTAAACCACTCTATTAGCCCAGTAAATGAAAATCCTCACTTTTCAGGACAGAAAAACATCCTTAATGGACACCATACCAGTATGTTTTGTCAAGAATAGCAAGTATTCAGCTCCATATTGTATCCATGTGAGACTCCACAAACTATGTGATCTAGGAATCTCCCCATTCACCCAAGAGTGGACCTAAAACATTCAGTGTTGAGTATTGAGTACAAATACCTGACTCAGATAAGTTACATTTCAGACATTGAGTTGCATTTATAGATGGGCACAAGAACATAAAAAGGTTCAAGTGAATAGTTTTGTAATGTGTCTGAGATGCAATACAGTGTATGATAGCCCTGGTTTGATGTAAAACACACAGTGCAGTGCTGTGTTTACTGCTTAGTTTAATATTTTAGTGTTTCCCACAAGCACCTCCAATAGTCTAAGGTTGCAGATATGAGAGACCTTGGGTTGGATTCAGCCATCATGTGTTTTTGTATATTGCATAGGGATTTATTCACTAAACTGTGAATTGTAGCAAATTGAAATCCTATCAGCAAAACGTAGGATAAAATAGTCAAGCTCTGACTATACCTGAGTTAGAGAGTTTTAAAAATCAGCTATTATTGCTGCAATTGGAACTTAGAAAAGAAACTCTCAATTTTTTTATGGAAAGTACATAGATTCTGATGTATCACATCATTGGTTTATTAAGGACTTTCCCCAGTCTTTAAAGGACCACTATAGTGCCAGGAAAACATACTAGTTTTCCTGGCACTATAGTGCCCTGAAGGTACCCCCACCCTCAGGGTCCCCCTCCCGCCGGCCTCTGGGGGGAGGAAGGGGTTAAACTTACCTCTTTCTCCAGCGCCGGGCGGGGAGCTCTCCTCCTCCTCTCCTCCTCTTCGGCTGAATGCGCATGCGCGGCAGGAGCCGCGCTCGCATTCAGCCAGTCCATAGGAAAGCATTCACAATGCTTTCCTATGGACGCTGGTGTCTTCTCACTGTGAAAATCACAGTGAGAAGCGCGGAATACTAAAATTAAGGTATTGTGCCAGCACTTGAAGTGATGATGTCACTGCCTTTATCAAGGGTACCTGTATCCATGTTCAAATACGTTTGCACCTAGCTATCTGATATACTTTGTCCCCCCATGTGTTTTTGGTTAGTGTCGTGCCTTGTAACCTTATTGTTATTAGTCTGTGAAGTTGCAAATCAGTCCCCCACAAGGTCCCTGTGAGCGTATTCCTTGCATGGGGATTGTCATATAAGGCCAAGTGTGGCTCCCATTAAACAGAGATTCGTTTACCCCTTCATGAAGTCTTGGCTCATGTTTGGGGGATTGGATAACTACATACACTCTGGGGATTGCCATATCACAATACTCTCCTGAGTATAATCACTAGCTCTTCTAAGAGATGTTCCTGCTACGCTCTCTGGACTAGGAGTGGTCTACCCACTGGAAGCTGGATCCTGGTCTTGGGTCCAGGGTGGGTGGAGGACGGCGAGACCCCAACCAAGCTGTGGCGGTTCGTGGGGTTTACAGTGGTTGTGGTGTTCCTGTGCAGTGCTTATCGTGCTTGCAAGTTTTAGGAAGCAGCATTTGACGGACGTACCCTGTCTGGGTGCCTGGCGGTCCGTCACATACCGCTACCATCCTATCCGTATTATTAATTTTGCGTTTATTTACAAAACCATGAAAAACTGTTTACTTAAAAAAAAACATATTGCAAAATTTAGGCTAAAATAGCCAATGAGTAACTATAGCTGAGAAGATTTTCTTCTAAACATTTTGCAATGTAGTTATCAACCCTTGGCTTTGGCACTAACTGAGGTAATATCTGAATTGTGTCACATATTTGATGCTTCTGAAGGAAACTGGAGTGTATTAATCAAAGCTTACACTCTCTATGGTCTAAAGTCCATATTCTAGAACTCTGTACTCTTTACTAGTTGCAAACCTTCCAGTAATCTAGAAAACATGAGCATTTTTAGTACAATAGTTCCTCTGCATACAACCCTGTCGGTCAACTGGCTTTACATAGCGTGTTGCTGTAATCCTTGTATAACTTCTACCAAACAGATTTGGTCATTACAAATTTATTTCATTATGATGTTAATTTTATTATTATAATCTAGATAATGCCAACATACCTTTCACTTTACAATGAAGATATAAACCAGCAAATAAATGACAAACACTAAACACTCACAATGTGCTTAAAATGCATAATTGTAGGTTTCTTCCAGTTATTTATATTTGTATTACTGTAAGAACAATCAGGATGTGGAATTCTCTGCCTGAGGAAGTGGTTTTATCAGAGTCCATACAGATGTTCAAACAGCTACTAGATGCATACTTGCAAAAACAGAATATTCAAGGATATAATCTTTCAATGTAGGGTAATAACTGCTTGATCCAAGGATAAATCTGACTGCCATTCTGGGGTCAAGAAGGAATTTTTTTCTTAGCTTGTTGCAAAATTGTGCTTCAAACTGTTTTTTTTTTTGCTTTCTTTTGGATCAACAGCAAAAAACAAATGTGAGGTAGGCTGAACTTGATGGACGCAAGTCTCTTTTCAGCTATGTAACTATGTAACTATGTAACTATGTATGTGGTTTTATGCGTTTTACATCATACATGGCTTTCAATATCTGTTTTCAGTAACCAGTTTGAGTGCTGGTCAGGGACACTATAGTGTTAGGAATAAAGATTTGTATTCCTAACATTACAGTGTTCCTTTAAAATAATATATATATACATACATACATATTACTGTGTGACTATACTTTGTATTGTCTTGGGCTGATTTTTAGCATCTACTGTTATGTTCTGAATCATATTAGAACAGTTAGTGAATTTCTGAATTTATACCTGATCTTCAATTTTAAGTTACGATTTTTTTTTTCTTGAACTCTGCACTTCAGGTAAATCACTATAAATGCATTCTAAGTGCCCAGGTTATAGCCTCTCACAGATGAACAACGTTGCTATATCTGGGCCCATTAAAGAGCGGTAGGTTTAAAAGAAAAATAAGTGCATATATATATATATATATATATTCCCTGTGGGCTGATTCGGGTGTGGGCACCGCAGGGAGACAAGCTATTTGAGCCACTGTCTATTTTCAGTGTGTTCTCATAAATCCTTGTTTTTAGTAAAAAACATTTCCACAAGGTGCCTATACTACCGTACCATTCTCACAAGCAAAGATTTCTGGCCACCCACTCCTTCTAGTAGTTTAGTTGCAATACATTAACATATATGTGGATGTCCTAGCCTTTTGTAATCCTCAATTGTTGCACTGTCTACAGCATACTTGATAACCACGCGGATTCAACTGAATTTATTTCTTGTGATTTCATTTAGTCTGGAAATAAAGCCATCCCCGTTACAAAGCGCAGTGTCAGCTACTTTGAGGGACCGTTTGTGAGATTTATTCATGCTTGTACCTTCTCCTTGGCTGTGGTAACCAAATAATGGACTCACAGGCATGCCATGGGACTTTCTTTCCTCCCAGGGGGTCTTTCCCAAACTCTTAAACTATCCCATCAATCTATCAGGTCTCCTAGTCCCTAACAAGGGATCCATTACAGGCTGGAAATAGCCAGGATTGTGTTAAGACCACTCTTAGAGGAAGCAGATGGACAAATGGCGTGGTACACCATGTGCATTTCCTAATCTCATTAAAGACCAATTCTAAGTGATGGTTTCTGCAGACATTGGGAAGGGTTAGACTTCCACTCAATTAAGCATAATGCACACATTTTATTGTTGTCACTCCTTCAGCATTTGTTCTTTCATTATCCATTTACCTAATACTACATTAAAAGACTGTCATTAACCTTTTTACTAATAACCTAATAATGTTTCAGAAAATTATTGAAACAGGCTTATTAATTATTTTAAACCATTTAGGACTTGTCATTAATTGTGTCTTTTCGAGTTCTGATTTTATCATAGCCTGTTGTCTTCTTACTTTGATAACTTATTTGAGGGCAATTTAAAAAAAACCAACATAATAAATAATAAGCTATTTTTTTAAATTCACCTGTTGTGATTGTAACATTAACTCTCAAGGAGTTGAATATGATGATATCTACACAGCTGATAATAGTAAGGTATTGGGATACTACACATTTTTTTCTAGAAGATAAACCTTAAAGGAAAAAAACTCTATTTTGTAAGGATACCCACAAAAACAGCTTGCAAAAGCTGCAGAACTGGGGTCTGCAGCCTTTGCAAACCCTCCTCTTTATCTCTGGCACATGTTTTCTATCTGTTGAGGCAGAGTTAACCAGTCAGAGGCTGCTCACTGTGAAGCATCTGTGGTCAAGTAGTGATCGCACATATGTGGAACTCTATAGAAGAAACCCACCTCTCATTTGTAACGAGGGATAGAAAGTTGGATACTGGAAGACGAATGTTGGATATAGGGGTGGGGTTGGCTAGGGAATGTTGGAATTTCAAAGATGTGGTTATGAACTATGCTAGAAGGGTTAAAGGTACATCTGGATTGCAGAGCCAGGCAGTTTAGTTCTGTCAACAGATAGGTGCTGTAGTTCATTGGAAAGCAAAACTACACATCAAATTTCTGAGAATGTTTTTTTTTTTTTTTTTGTTTTTGTTTTTCCTATTTTAAGCCAAATCTGAAATCGTGATGTAACCACATTTTATAAGATATTTCTAGGAAGTGACTGTGGTCAAATTACAGTTTGACTTTTCCTCACATTTCCTGTATTTTTTTTATTATTATTATTTATAAAGCGCCAACAAATTCCGTAGCGCTGTACAATGGGTGGACTAACAGGCACATATTTGTAACCAGACAAGTTGGACACACAGGAACAAGAGGGATTGAGGGTACTGCTCAATGAGCTTACATGCTAGAGGGAGTGGGGTAAAAAGGACACAAAAGGTAAGGGTAGGGTAGAAAAGTAGGTTGCTTGGATAGTGTTCAATTCAGGGCTTCGTGTTTAGTTTTGCTGACTGTTGCAGGAGCGGAATCAGGGAATCATATATAATATAATGCATAATTTTTACTTTGTTTGAAATATTGTTTAACCCTTTTGACAGTTTTTAAGGAAAGCTTGTTTTTTTAGTAATCGGTCTTTCAACGCCTTGTCCTCTTATAATAACAGTTTTTAATTCTGATCAGTTTGATGTTCACAAATGAAGCTTCACACCCAGTTGGGAGTTCATTTTTAAACATGCATAATAGGAGAGGTTGCAAATTGACTCCACATTTAACTTTGAGTGATTGACAGACACGGTTGGTAATGACATCTGGGCCCTGTCAGATAAAAATGATTGAAACCAGTTTAGCAGCTGATCATTGATATCTGAGTTTTAAAAAATTATTTAGCAAGCTGTTGTTTTCAAACGTATCAAAGACTGTGCCACTTCAGATGACAGGGCATTTCCCCAACACTAACCCACACATACCCCCCCCACCACCCCCATTGGTTAGGGGTGCATTTAGAAGACAACCCGATAATGGGATACACTCCTGTACACAGCCACTACAATGCTGATCTAGCTATGCATTACATGCCTTAATGATTAATTATCAATGTTAGGCTGTCAATACTGCGATACATACCCATATCCTCACAAATGATAACGCATGTACATAACCTTATGTGCTAACGTACTTCTTTATTTCTGTATCCAACCCTGCATTAATATGATAACAAAACAATTTCAATAAAAAGAGATTGACCCAAAAATAAAAGACTGTGTGCCATTTTGGATGTTTTTTTTTTTTTTTTTTTTGAGGTTGAAATGACAGTTGACAATACCTGTATAACTGCACAGGGCGCACAGGGCAACATTTAAAATAAATATTGGACAATACTGGAAGCAAACATATTGGTGTCTACTAATGCTAAATAAGTGTTTCTACTTTTATTGGTCAAGACTACTCTTCATATTTTCCAGGATTTTGTTAAATAAACTTGGAAGTTAGAGAGGGAACATGAATCAAATCAAAGGAAAACATTAAGAGGAAGTCTAGAATATTTAGCTGAATTTAAAAAAAACAAGGGTTCTAAAATGTATTTTCTGCAGATTATTAATATGAATAATGTATTATTGATTATTAAAGGTTCTTTAAAATATCCATACATTACTTGTTTTATTTTTAGGAGATATGTGGTTGGGGGGTGGGGGCTTATATGTGTACAGTTCAAAATAGATTTTATATATACAGTTGCAGTGTCCTGTTTGACTGTATGTTAGAAATATGGCTAAGTGAAAGGAATGGTTCACAAAATTAAAATAAGAGATCATCGCCCTTCACAAAAGGAACAGTATATAAAAAGATATGAAATGCACTGAATGTTCCTAGAGACACTGTTCGAATCACAAGTTCAAAGTTGAAGGTACAGTGGTTACACTACCTAGACTGGGCAGAAAAATGAAGTTATCGATGGCTGCAACCAGATTTCTGAGAAGGCAGGTTGTGAAAAACCCTTGAGTGACTGCAAAAGACCTGCAGTAAGACTTGGTGCCAACAGGCACTGAGGTTTCAGTGAGCACAGTAAGGGGCGTACAAAACACAGGTTTCCATACCAGAACTCCAAGACATACACCACTGCTGACCCGAAAGCAAAAATCTGCTCCAATATCAAAATCATCTAAATAAGCCACAGAAGTTTTGGGATACTGTTCTGTTGAACAATAACATAAAACAGTAACTTTTCAGAACAATGGATCAGCGGTATGTCTGGAGGAAGAAGAATGAAATATACGCTGAAAAGAACACTCTGCCTACAGCATGGTGGTGGCTCTGTGATGCTCTTTGGCTGCTTTGCATCCTCTGGCACTGGAAACCTGCAGAATGTGGAAGGCAAGATGGATTCATTGAAGTATCAGGAAATCCTAGGAGAAAATGTCATGCCATCTGTGAGGAAGCCGAAGCTTGGTCATTATTGGACCTTCCAACAAGACAGTGATCCCAAACATACCTCATTGCACCAAGGCTTGTTTGCAAAAAAAGTCCTGGAAAATTCTACTGTGGCCATCAGTTATCTGAATTGAAACCCATAGAAAATCTCTGGTGGGATTTGAAGAAGGCGGTTGCAGCACACAAACCCAAAAATATTACTGGAGTGGAGGTCATTGCTCATGAGCAATGGGCTAAGATTCCTCAGGAACGCTGCCAGAAGCTGGTGTCTGGCTATACATCTAATTTGCAGCACGTCACAACAGCGAAAGGGAACTCTACTAAGTAGCAAAGATGCTTGCCATGAAGGGGTTGAATAATTTTAGAGAAATCATTATAAGCTGAATTTGTGGAAATCACTTGGAGCATTCATTGTGTTGAGCTGTTTCAATTGTTTTTGTTTAATTTGTTAATTGAAAGTCTGTAAATTTTGACGTCAAACATGATTTTCAGTGGGAGTTGAATCATTTTGATTGTGTGATATATTTTTGATACATATAATTATTATAGTTGCAATGCAAATTATCCAATCCCCATCGGAAAAAAAAATCTATAAAAAATCTATGTATAAAATAATGTTGTTGTCTTGCTTTACAATATTACCTTATTTAATTCTAAATAAAATATAAAGAAAAGCCAATAAAAAGATTAGTCCAAAGTAGAATTATATTAACAATTATTACATGTGCTCCCACTCTTTATTTAATTAATTATATTTTTATTTTTTAGATGGTGTTCTACAAAGAATGGCTGATGCTTTTCTTGGGCCTTGGGACTTTCTGGTGTATTTCAGATTGTCTGGGGAAAACTGCAGCTCTGAAAAAACTCAGTTCAAATAAACCTAAAACTGCAAGACAGGTTCTTGTGGGACAAACACGTCAACATGGGGAAGACCCTCCATCTTTGGAAGATGCAGAGAAAGAGCAGGGATATTATCTCCAGCAACTGTTCCATCTCTATGGGGAGAATGATACCTTGTCTTATCGTGGACTTACTCAGCTTCTACAAAATCTAGGACTTGGCAAAGTGCAGGTATGTGGTGCTATGCATACAAAGTACATACAAAGGACTTCTGGGAATGAAGGGATGCCAATGTGACATGTGGCGGCATGCATTTATATGTTGATTATTGTCTGTTGAAAAACACAAAT